TTGCCGGTGTTAGTGCCGGAATGGTTTAGTACAGTGGGCAAATGGCGCCCGTCGCCCTCTGCCCCCTTCCCAGTGCCGGGAGGTGTTGCACAAGGAAACCCCCCCGAGGATCCTCCACCTCCGTGTCCCCCTTGTATATCGCTGGGTCAGTATCGACCTTGCGCAGTCTCACACCTATAAAGGTCTTTGCAGAGGAGGACGTCAAGTCCCTGCCGGAGCTGCAAGCAGCAATGACGTTTCCCTCGTGCCCGCAGTTGCCATCGCCCTCCTAACACCTCCTGGGCCCGGCTCCCCTTCCCCGCCATGGAGACAGTGGGGTGGCACGGAGGGTTAAGCTCAGCTCACCCCGCTGTCCAGGCGCCCTGCACCGTCAGAGATGCCAGGGCTATTGGCACCCGGCCCCAAGGAGACCTGGCACAGGCTGTCTGAGGTGTCGACAAGGGGGCTCCTCCCAATGTCCTGCCCCAACCAGGCACAGGAGAGGGAGAGACTGATGGCAAGGTTCAGCCCGCTGATGTTTCTTAAGTGCCTATCAGGAATTTCAGAGTACAACCTTTGCTCTGGGTTTTTATTACTTGCTCCTTCTGACCAGTGAGAGGGCGTGCTGTGGCCTGCATGCAGCTCTGGGCTCAATCTGCATCTCTGGAGCTGGTGCCAAGGTCCTCGGCAGCAGGAGCTGGCACTGCTCAGCCGCCAGTACTTGGCCATCAGTTACTCAATGTTCCCATCTACAGCTCCTTGTCTTCTTCCTCCTCCGACCAGCTCAAGCTGTCATCCGAGTCATCCCCCTGCATTGCACTGGGCTCCTCTGCATTGGCCGTCTCCTTCTCCTGCTCACCACAGGACTGCAACCTGCTCTGGAGGAGCTCCAGCCTGGCCCACGACCCAGGGCTGGCTTTGCAAGCCATCAGTTACTCAATGTTCCCATCTACAGCTCCTTGTCTTCTTCCTCCTCCGACCAGCTCAAGCTGTCATCCGAGTCATCCCCCTGCATTGCACTGGGCTCCTCTGCATTGGCCGTCTCCTTCTCCTGCTCACCACAGGACTGCAACCTGCTCTGGAGGAGCTCCAGCCTGGCCCACGACCCAGGGCTGGCTTTGCAAAGCACGATCTCCACCTTGGTAGGGACCATGCTCACAAAGCTCTTCTCTGTTTCGATGACCTGGAGAGAAGGAAAGGCACAGTGAGCTGGGCAGGGGAGTGCAGGCAGCACACGCTCATCCTTCCCCTTACCAGCAGAGCTCTGCCAGAGGAGAAGAGAGGAGTCATGTCCTCTCCCCACGTGCCAGGAGACAGAGCAGGACCAAACCTGGGCTCCAGCTGAGCTTCACAGTATGACATCTAAGCAGCACCACAGTGCTAGTGCAGAACTCAGGAGAGCTCCGCTAGCCGCAGCCACCTTACAGCACTCTCCCCATGACAGCGAACCACACTGAGACACGGGCATACCCGCACCCAGCAGCACGCTCTGCTGCACTCGGGCGCGGGCAGCACGCACCAGCAATAAAGGCAAGAAACGCACATACGAATTCTTGAGTCCCACTGCTCCTCCCCAGCCAGCAAGCAACCGAGAAATCAGAGTGAGACTCTCCCTTCACACAGCTGCCCACCCGCAGGCACAGCAGGATTGCAGGGGGAGACAGGGACCTGCTGAGCCAAAGACCCTTTGGGGCAGTCTGGTACCAAACCCAGAACACCTACAGAGCTGGCAGCGACGTCCAGCTCTGCTCTTAGCCCGGGATCGATTGGTGCAGTCACCGGCAGCCTCCAAAACAGCCCTCCTCACAACCCCGAAGGCATTTCCTAGCAGAGATGGCTATAAATGCCAGTACCTGGGCGACCTGGCTCCCAGACAACCCAAACAAGCAAGCCATTGCTGTGGTAGTTTGAAAAAGAGTAGCCAGGGTGCCTCAGGTAGCGCAGAGCAGTCAGATGGGTACCAATCCCAGGCACAGTCCTGGCGTGGCTCTCAGAGGGTGCTACCACTATGGGACCAATAGAGAAAAACCTAATTTCCCCATCAGCTTTTGCTGCTATAGAAAACTGGAGCTCTGGAGATAAACGAGTCCTCTCTGCTGCAACAGCCATGGTGGACCTGTGTTCTCTGCAAGGCTTCAAGAGCTGGCAATGAATCACACCAAAGGAGAGACTATGAAACAGCTGTTTGTTCCACAGATGTGCCAGCTGAAGAAGAGACAGCATCCCAGGGGCCACAGCATTTCTGTACGATAACACAGTGAAGGTCTGCCTCATGCTCCATGCACAGGAAGGACCGTGCAGAAACTGCAGCAACAACCATTTTGCTGCTTTTTCAGAAGTCTGAGAATCCTGACTACAAAGAGGGTAATTTTCCGTACTGGGAGCCTGTGTTTAGGACTGCAAACACTTCTCCCACAGCACAGGCTGCCTCACAGCGTTGCAGCCCAGCCCCACACAGATACTGGAACAGGGAAATCAAAGTAAACAGGATCTTACCCCCCAGAGATCCAGTTCTGCCTGGAAAATCTTACTCCCTTCAAAGATGAGATGAATCTCAAGCTGAAAGATCAACAGAAAATTATCTGAGTGGGTAGCACAGCACTACCAGAGCTCTTCCCCCAGACAGTGTAGCTGCCTTTCAGCGCTGTAACACACCCCACATCCTGGCTCCAGTGTAATGTTCTGGCAATCCCCTTGGCACCTAGGAGCATTTCACCCCCTTCAGAGCATGCTAGGTTCACCTCTCACACCAGTTGTGGGATTCAAGACCAGCAAAGCCACCCGCTGAGGCTGAAAGCCACTGAGCCAGAGTGGCCGTACAGATGCTGCTGCAGCAGCGAAACCCACGGTCTCTCAGCTTGGGGATGGCAAGTTGGCAGTGCCAACCCCAGCTGCAGCAACAGACCAAACAGGCCATCAAAGAGTGCTAGGCACCTGGCTGGCTCCTGGCTGTTGGCTCATCAAAATCAGGTGCCATGACAGCACACATCCCCGGCCCAGCTCTGCTGGCCCCACTCACCACAGTGCGGTTGGCTTTCACACTGCTGAGGGCAGGCAGGGGCTTCTTGGCATAGACCGTCACCACCACCTGACTGCTGGTTTGGTGCCAGTCCTGCCGGCATGACACTGCCTTCTTGTCCTGCGGGGAGAGGAAGCCATCACAGCACACATATAGCCCAAGCGCACCCCAAACAGAGGGGATGTCTGTGCTGGAGGTTGCTCCTTCGCAGGGTGCCAGCTGAGGTCAGCATTAACTAAGCAAGATAAAACTCTGCCTTTCGTGCAGGTTTTTGAGAGGAGGTGGCTCATGCAAAGGCGGGCAGCCCCTGCCAGGCTGTCCCATGCAACATAGGGTATCTGTGCTGTGCTTGGGGTTGCTCCAGAAGGACATGTTAAGAGCAGATATATCCTTGTACCAGAGTCACTCTGCTGTGCCCAAGCTCATAGGTGCCATGCACAGTCAGGAAAGCTGGTCTGTAAGGCAGTGCAGGGGCTGTTGCTGGACATGGATCATGCCACCATACTAAATTTGGGAGACAGATGAGCCCAACTGTCCATGTTTCACCTTTCTCCCACAGAGCCCCTACCTCGTCCATGCCACAGGCAGCTTTTGCCCCACCAGGCATTTCTGAGCATCACCAGGAGACAGACCCCTTGCAGCCCTCAGCATTGCCAACCAGAGAACTGAACCAGGAGGAATCCCAGCCCCAAACTCAGGCGACAATTAGCACAAAGCACCTGCATCACAACATCGCAGTTCATTCACTACAACCTCCTTTACATCCACTACGTGTTTTCTGCTCCTGGACAAAGAACAGACTGGGCTCAGAGGGGGTTGCTCAGAGCAGTGCTCACTCAGAGGAATGTGATGCACTTTCAGGGATATCCTGGGCTGCTTTGGTGCAACTTTCCCAGCTCAAGCCTTTTTCCAGCCAAGAGATTTCCTGGGGAAACTTGCACATACACACAAAATATTGGGAACTGGGATCTCCCCATTGCCCTGCCACACCATGTTGCTTTGCAGATGAGGTCCTTCCTGGGAAGTAATTGCAGAGGCAAAGCTTCATTAAAGCCAAATTCAATCATTTGCAGTCATCTGTCAAATTTTTTTTTTTTTTTCCAGGGCTTTTCCTGTGCTTAGCTGCCTGTCCCTGTGCAGCAGCCTGCAGTGCTGGCTATGCTGTGCCTGGGGCCAGCTCCTGCCTCATTCAGCTTCCTATTGCATATCTGCCGATTGGGTGTGAGAGCTGACATGTTTTCTGAATGCAGGAGCAGCATTTTAAACAGGAGATGGATGAAGATTAGGCATTGAAACCCTGTGCAGTCATCTGTTGGCAATTATGAAAATTAAGATAATTAGATGTAGAAACCCATGTGAATGCAAAGCAAGGGAAGGAGCACTCATAAGGTGCCAGTAACGGCACTTTGCTCACACCGAGAGCGCCCTTACCCCCTTCCCTGCCCAGCAGTGCAGTCCGCTGCTGCAGCCTGGCTGCTCCAGGAAGGCGCTGAAGTCTATCGTTTTGACTCCACAGCAGCTCCAGTACTTCATCCTGGGGAGAGCAGGGTGATCTGAGTGGGAAGTGCCTGTTGGAGCAGGAGAGGGGACCACAGCAGGCTTTGGGGTGGTGGGGGAGAGGGGCTTGGAACCAGCAGCTCACCCTGCCCACCTGTCACCCATGGGGGTGCCACCCACAACTGGACCGGCTGTGCTGCGAGGGCCACACAGCCTTGTGATGTGTCACTTTCAGCCCTCAGCAGGGGCAGTTTACTCCCCTGTAAAGGGTTGTTTCTTACCCTTCATGGAAGACAGGAACCCCAGGATGGAAAGTACAAACCTCTGTGTTGCTCTCTGGGCCCTTGTAGATCTATGGAGTGAGAAGCAGAGGAAAGTTTCAGCTGTGCCTCTGGCCCAGGGCAGCATGGCACAGCCAGACATCATCCCATCAGAGCCCATCCCTGCACAGGGCACAGCCTGATGCCCAACATCACCAATCATCAGCAATCAGCATCGCTGGGTCCAGCATCTGTGAGGACTTACTCTGGGACTGTGCCCAGCCGGCAGCCTAGCACTGGTCCCTGCTCCCCAGGGCAGCCACCCAGCCTCACTGGGACCTTGTGTCATCCCTGCGACCCTGGAAACAGCCCTTTTGTATGCCCTCTCCCAAACACAGCCTGGGGCTGGGCAGCACGGGGACAGTGGGCAAGTTTGGACACTGTAGAAACTTGCTGCAAGGTGTAAAGGGGCGTTTGGCCATCCTACCCCTTCCCCTCCTTTCCAGAGCACGTCAGTCTCATGTCTTCATCCACCTCCTGCCTTTTGCTCCCTGCTCACTCCCCTCTGCTGCTTTCCAAGCATGCTGGCCCTCCCACAGCTTGGTCGCTCTGATGCACACCTCAAGGCAGGCAGGCAGTCCTACACAAGGCAGCCTTGGGGCAAGATAGAAAGTGGGGTGTGCTGCATTAATTAAATGCAGGTGAGAATTATTCCACGTGCATTTTACCTATATGCCCATATCCTAAATATGTGCTATATTTCATCACAAGCAGTTGGCAGCGGTGAAACACATATGTACCACCAATCTAGGAGTCTGGAAGCCTCTTGCAGGAATGTGGTTAGGAGGTGACAGAGGCAGCTACTCCAGGGATGGAATGAGCAGGAGCATTCAGAGCCAATGGCACTGCCACCTCCCACCCCATGGCAGCTGGGAGGCAAGACCAGTGATGCTCCCAGTCATGCAGCAGAGACCATGCAAAGATGGGACCCTGCCATGTACTTACCGCCTTGCAGGCTGCATTCTTGCAGGTGGTGCCAGCTCTCACCTGGGCAGCCACCTCCCCTGCAAGAGCAACACAACTTCACCCGGAGGCACGCGCTACCCATGCCTGCTGCCAACCCCTCCCCACAGCCCCACTGCCAGCTCTCCAGCTCAGCACGCACAGTCCCTGAGCGCAGCACACTTCCAAGACACAGCTCAGTGGCTGAGCATGCAGCACCTCCCATCCTGCGCTGAACCTGCCATGCAAAACCTCATGCTGAACTAGCCATGTGCAAACCCGCTGCTATCCATCAGCTCATCACTACCTGTGCAACTGCCCTCAGGTGCCTCATCTGGGGAGGACAGGCTCAATTTCTCCAGTGCCTGCTCCAGAGACCTGGATACTTTAATTGGCAGCAGTTGTCTTGGTTCATCAGAGCTGGGAAACAGCAGCAGCAAAGGCCAAGTGGATTTTTTTTGCAATTTAAGTGTTGTTGCCTCTCCTGAGGAAGCAGCAGGGAAGGACACATGCAGAAGTGGCACAGCAGGACAACACTGTTAGCTGAGCTCGTCTCACCTTGGTCTTTCCCGCTGCATCTTCTCAGCTGATTTTGGTCCTTGGATGATGAGCTTCTCCACTGGTTTGGCCTTCGGCTTGTCAGAGGTCTCTTCTTGGCTGAAAGGCTCAGGGCGCTTCTCCTTGCTGTGAAACCCCTTTGTGCATCCCTGAGCAGCAGAGGCAAGCCTGATGCCTGCTTTGCCCTTCCTAACCTGGCAGCTGCTCCCAAACCCTGTGAGTTTCCACGCTCTGGTGGCTCTGTGTCCTGCAGGAATGGGCTGTGACCCTGCACCAAAGCAGCGGCTGAATCTACAGGGATTCCTGGGGACAAGATGGTGCGGCAGCCTCACTGGGGCCATGGCAGTCATGTCTCAGCTCTGCTGCACCCCAGCCTGGCAGCTGAAGGGCAGCAAGTCTTCCCCACGTCCTCAGGCCTCTGCTGCCTCCTTTCCTCCTCCAAGACCACTCAGACATTCACAGCTGTGCTGGCACTTTGGGGTATTTGTGTTCATCCCATGGGATCCCGGTGGGAGATCCCAGCCCTTTCCAGCACCCTTCTCTGGGAGTACCTGCCCCGCACTTTGGGAGCAGCACTCTTGCTTGCACGGTCCTCGGAAGCAGATAGGAAATCCCCAGCCAGCAGGGCGAAAGGGGCAGCCTTGGTGCAGGATGGGGACGGAACAGGACAGGGCAGGGGCAAGGAGGAGAGGACGAAGGAGCAGCGGGTGCATTGGGGCTGGCAGGGCACTCACCTTTATGGAGAGGAATTCAGAGAAGTCTGTTGTGCGTTTCTTGCAACAAGACCAGCCCTAGGCACCAGGAGATGAAAACTAGTCAGGTGTGGGCAATCTTGCAGGTCCCTCCCTGCAGCTGCAGCCCCAGTTCCTGCCCCACTCACCTTCACGGCATCGTGGAAGATGGGGATGCCTGGGTGATACAGGCAGGAATCTGAAAAGAGAAAATCAGGCAGAACCTTTCAGGAGGAGCAATCCTGCCCACAAGCCACCTGTGATGCCCGGCAGCTCCTGAGCTAGCTCTTGCCATGCAGGCTGCCTGCACTAGGCTTGGCTAAGCCCCGCTTGGCAGCTCAAG